GTTAAGCTTTCTGAAGCAGCACAAAATTATACCCAGGTCACACTTCAGTGATTTTTTCAGGCACTGCAGCATCTCTCACGCCTCCCTGTCTGTATTCAAGTTCTTCCTAATGACTCACTTTTCTGAGGCCAGTGAGAAATAAATTATCCATTCTTCTCATTCCCTGAGTAGTTACTTGCTCTGGATTTGCCTGTTTCTCAACCTGTTGCATCTTTTAGAGTGTGATTTTCAAGGTACTGACTTCGTTAAGGCATGATTCCTAGAAAATATCACAGAGTACGTGAATGCTAAAATAGAAAGCTTCAGTCTTGAACTGAGTCAGACAGGCCTTTTAACATGACAGAAATTTGAACAGAACTGAATTTGACAGAAATTTTAAGATGATGGAGATTGGAACTAAACTTGCTGATTTATTTCTGTAAATGGTGGCTTGTGCGTGCAGAGCTGCAGTGAAGCCCGAGGCTGGGTTTCTCCTCTTCCATTCAGCACAGCACTGCAATATTTCCCTGTAGTCCCAGAAAACAAAATCAGTATTCCTTTCCTATCTCATGTACTTTTTATTCCAGCTACATTATAATAAGCTGATGTGATTCACAGCATTACTGTGCACCTTCTCATCCATTAGCTCCCTCCAAAACCTCCACAACCTCCCGCCAGCAAGAAGAGGAAGCGAGTGAATGATGATGTGCCAGAGTGTAAACCTTTGAAGCCATTGCTGAGTGGCTCCATTCCTGTGGACCAGTTTGTGCAGACACTCGAGAAGGTATTAAGTCTTTGGTGGCAAGTGAGGTTCAAGCAGATTTCTACTAATCTCATAAATGTGCTGCTTTACTAGCAGAGAAGGGGAAAATAATGTTTGTGTAGCTTGAAATGGAGAAGGGCTTATAAGCTAGCAAAGTACTTCAGGGAATGTGGATCTCTGCACTGAGTGTGGAGGGAATAGTTCCCTGTGGAGACATGTCCTGATACAGGGGCTTCCTGACAGTCATTTCCTCCCGGTTTCTCATGGAAGTAGAGCTTTTGGGGCCACTCTGGGTGGGTGAATTTTCCCTGTATGACTTTTGCATTCATCAGCTGATTTCCAATAAATTTAAACAGTGGGGGGGAGGTCTTAAAAGTATTTAAGTTGCTACAAGTTTTGTGAAAATGAGGTGAGCGAGTGAAGAAGAGCTCCTGGAAATGTCTCCACTGTTGTGAAGTTTTCTGGGGAGCTGCAGGACAGGGGCTTGGTGGCTGAACTTGCAGGCATTTGGTTACTGCTTTGTGGAGCCCTGTTCTCGCCTGTGGGACCCCTTGGAGAAAATTATCAGGAAAAAGGGCAGGACTGTCTGTGAGGAAGCTTGCTCTGGGGTTCAGTAGCTCTCCACTATCATCTTGAGGCAGTAATGTCAGCAGACAGTCATTTCTGTAGTTAAAGGAGCCATTTGTCCTTTTTGTCTCTCAAGATTTTGCAATTGCAGTGGAAAATGTTTGGTTTAGCTTCCCTTTTCTATAGCCTATCCATCTGTATAATGAGGGGCTGTCTGTATTTCCTCTGCAAATCCCAGAGATCTAGGATGTCTGCATTGGCACTCTTTTTCGTAGCCATTTTCCCCTCTTCATCCCCCTGTGCCCTAGTTATTTATCTCTGTTTTCCTGAGTTGTAGTAACATCTCTCTTTTAATCCCTCCTCAACGCTACATGTAGCATGGTTTCAGTGACGTGAAGGTGGAGGACACAGCCAAGGGCCACATCGTACTCCTCCAGGAAGCAGAAACCCTCATTCAGATTGAGGAGGACTCCACACACATCATCTGTGACAACGATGAACCTTTGAGGGTGAAACTGCGTGACCTGGTTCTCAAATTCCTGCAGAAATTTTAGCTCATGGACATCATGCTGCTCTGCAAGGGGAGACCCCAGGGCACCAGAGCTAAGACCTTTCCAGAGGGTGACCCGAGGGAGAGAAAGAATTTACTGATTCACAGAGACCAGAAGCCACCTTCCCCTTCATGGAGAAGCAAGGAAGTATTTTTAATATCTATTTTTTTAATTTTATTTTTAACTGGTTTTGGAGTATTTTGGAGGGGATTCTTGTTCTGTAAAATTTGGAGTTTGAATCTTACAGGAGATATGAACTGCAGAGTAAATAGAGTGTGTATTTACAAGGTCAGGGTGAAATTGTTTGCAGACACAGACATTTCTTTGTGTGACCCACTCAGCAACGTATGTCCCAGTCCTTTACCTGAGGAAACTCTCTAGGAATATTGAAACAATGGGCTTGGATATGAAGAGATTTACTCTTCTTCCCACTGCTTCTTCCCAGTCACCAGATCCGATTTCCTGTCTGTCCGTCATCTACATTGTGTACGTGTATTTCACTGGCACAAAGAGGAATGAGAAAAGTAAAGGTTATTAAGAAAAAAAAAAAGGAAAAGGGGGCTATGCTGGACATGTAAAATAGCTTGGAAGTGGCAAGATACATGTTTTAGCAATGCAAGATGTTTATTGATGCTGCAGCCTCATCTGGTGATTAGTCCACCCAGCTCTAGGCTCTTCACTGAGACACATGAAAGACCAGTTTCTCCTGGGTTCCTCTATCAGCAGTGGAGGAAATACCTCAGAAAGGTACATTCAAAAGTACATGAAGTAGTTAAACATCTAGTGCTCATGAAAAACATTTGAGATTTAAGTGCCTCTTGTTTCTACCTTGCAAAACCCTATCCTTTCAGCCCCCACAATCCCAAATCGTGGCTGAAATACTGAGTCATTTACACAAAGCCATCTGTACTGCAGACCAGGGGAGGTTTTTCACTCCCCAAATCATATATTTGGGGGCTAAACTTAGTTAATAGTATTGCTTTTAAAAGCAACCTATTTCTCAGATTTACTGCTGTTTGTTTTTTATTAGATTGCTTTGTATTTATTTGGTGTTAAAAATAAAAAGCATAGTAAGACTGCCAAGGAGGAAGCACATTCTGTGGTTTATAAAAGCATCTGTGTGCCTCTTCCACATCTGCTTCTGTGTGTCTATACACATTTGTAAAATATAACTACTCCTTCAGTTTATAGCTTTGGGGAGATTAAGGCAGTAGAAGAACAGCTCTGTAATAAAAACTATTTGCTATTGCTGTTTCCACATCACATTTTGTATGCATTAAGGATTCCTGTGCAATTAGATGTACAGACTACAGTGTCCGTGCCTTTGCTTTCTGTAGATGTCATGGGCGTGAGAGAAATCATACCATTAATGTGCTAAAAAACTTGTTGCAGTAGCATTAATCCTTGTAAGAGTTTACAACATTTGCAGTAGCTCAGCTTCTTTATCATCACTCAAAAACAGAATAAAAGAGTTGGATATATTTCACTTTGTAATTAAATCTCCAAGGAGATTATTCTTAACATGCAGAGGCCATGTGATAAGCTCAGCTGAGGTAAGGGGAAAGGGAAGAGAGGGCCTGGTCATATGAGTCCCCAAGAGCATCTTTACCTCTGCTTGTTACCCAGATCAGTGCTCCAGAGCCTTATTTTGTAATTATACTCATTTGCATTTATAGTTATAAGGGACTTCATTCATTGCTTTAAGAAACCAGACCCAAGGCTGTGTGCCAGTGCTTGGTGCATCCCCCATGGCCAAGCACGGGTCTCCCAGTAGTGTGCTGGTGGGCAGAGCATGAAGGCAGCAGTTTCCGCTTGGTGAAGGCTGTGCTGGAGTGACAGAGTGTTAGGAAATCCAAAGTCATTGTGCTTCCATGGAGGACTCAGAGAGGACCTTGCTTATCCTGGGGCAAAGAACAAGTGTGCGAGTTCCCATGGCCCAATGACTGAGAAGCATTGAAGCCCAGGTACAAAGAGTCAAGAAGACCTCAACTGGGGTAGGGTGAGTTGCAGCTACCTGTGGTCAAGAGGCAGAACCCAAGAGCTTAACTAGCTGGGTACTGAGACATAGGGGACATTTCTATGACATTTATGTGGTTATATGACATGGAGCCCTGCAGTAACAGGGCTGCTGATTCACTGACTTAAAAGATTTAATGGAGCTCTGTGTTTCTCTGACTCTGCAGGTGTGTGAAGGGCAGGAAGGTGAGAGAGATTTGCTGTCTGTGCTGAAGTTATGCAGTCCAACCAGCTTTGCACATCAGGGGTGAATAACATCGTCATGTACTCATCCAGCACAGCCTCCTCATACAGAAAGTCAGGTTAGACACAGGCATTACAGATCTCAAGGTATTAAGGAAATATTTAAATGTGAAGAGTGAGACAGACTGTATTGGATGCAATCACTGCTCCACAGGAGTGACTAGTGACTGGGCCAAATAAACCCATGGAAATCTCTCAGGGCTGCCTAACGTGACAGAACTAGAGAGATGCAGTCTAGTTCTGCCTCTGATGGATGCTTTTGGATGTGGTCCTGGCTCAGTGCCTCACTTTCCCCTTACATGAAATAGAAATGGTACCATCCCCCTTCGCAGGCTGCCTTGAGACTTACTGCTGAAAGCTGCTATGGCAGACATCATATTAAAAGTGCAGTGGCTTGAAGATAATTCGGAAACTGGGAGTGGGCTGCTGTGCTTGTTAACAGGGTTAGCCCTGTACTCAATCTCAACACTTAGTTTTTAGCCTGGTTCACTGTTGAAAGGCAACTGATTTGATTGGGCTGTTACATGAAAATGGTTATTTGAGGTGCAAAGCTCTGACTCCTATCAGTAACACAGCCAATATTTTATCAGGTCATCTGGTAGCTAATTGACTTTCCAAAGGCTTTCCCACCCTCCTGGGGGGGAAAAAATGAGTTTAGAAGTTTTTACATTTTTCTTCTTGTCATTTTGGGCAGGAAAACTCCTTACTGCTCCAGTCCAGCAGCTGAAAACTGATTCAATTCTTATAAACAGAAAACCTGTGCCTGCTTGAAAAATAAATGGGGGGACGGGGGGGAAGGAAGAGGGAAAGTCTTTAATGAAAAATCTTAATTAAACTAGCAAAAACAAGTGCTTGTTCATTCTGCACAGAGAAAGGAAAACAAATAGCATTTCTTCGGGCTGGGTCAGTCCTGCCGAGGTAACCATGGCAGCCGAGGAGAGCTGCAAGCAGAGGGGGAGGGATGGAAAACATGTTCTAACCAGACTTGCACACTTCAACGGACAAACAACAGCAAAGGTACTTGGTTTCACTCTCATTATTTCACAAGGGAACAAAATAAAATCCCTTTTGCTACTGTGTGATGGTCATTGGGCTGTGGCCATCCCCAGCCCCTGTAACTTCGTGTGACATGGGAGCCCCTCATCCCATGCTGCGCTTCACTGCCCTCCGCCTGCAGCTCCCCTAATCAAATGCAAACAGCTATGGGTGCAGCTGAGCTGCTTCCCAAGCAGTTGCTTTGCTCCTTGGCCCCTGGCAAGTGGTAAGTTCTCAGTGCACTTCCCAACCTGTGTGCTCCTGCAGCGCAGCCGGGGCTGGGGATGATGCAGAGAAAAGGTTAAAATTGGCTTTCTTCACTTGGATGGCTTTTATGGAACAGATATTCCTGGACGGAGTGAAGCATGCTGTGTTTTCTTTCTATTAATGTGAGCCTTAATAAAAACAACTGGACCAAGTCATTTCATTCCAGGCTCATGCTATCCCCCATGCCCAGATGCCGTCAGTGGCACTTGGGGTCACCTGACCACCTGATAAGTGCCCTGAACCACACCAGGGCAACCTCCTTGGGGACTTTGGAATGATAAACAGAGGGAACTGGAGCAAGATGTTGGGTCTGTGCCCCACCAACAGCTCAGCCTTTGGGAAGAGTGGGGCAGCTGAGTGTGGAGGGTTGGGGTTCAGCTGCACATCATGGCCTGGGTAGGTCATGATGGGGAAGGTAAGCTGGATCAAACAGGTCCCCATTTACCCATCACCTGGTACTCATGAACTGTGAGCCCATCTCATGGGACCCATCACCTGGGACCCCTGGACTGTGAGCTCATTCTCTGAGGAGCCATCACCCAGGACCTATGAACCTGGGACCAACCACCTCTGACTCATCAATAAGGACCCATCACTTGAAACCCACCACCTGGGCCCCATCATTTTGGAAACCTATCACCAAGTCTTGTGGCCCACAACTACCAAGCCAAGTCTCTTCCTGTGACTTTGGGGTGACAGCCAACCTCCCCAGTCCTGCTCTCCAGTGCATGCCACGGGGACCTGTGTTCTGAGGAGGCAGCTCTGGGGGATTCTCACCCGTAGGGACACAGCATTTCTCCCATGAGGACACTTGGGGCCACAGGATGCCACCCAGGAGCTCAGGTGAGCCCTCACCAGGAACCAGAGGCAAGTAATGTGCCCTGGGCACAGCTTTGTTAGGGCCAGAGATCATGGGCCTCATCCTGCGTCTGTCCTGTGGACTAGTGCATGGGAGCAGCACCACAGCAGGCTCCTAAATCAAGAGGGATTCATTCAGCCTGAAGACGCAGTGATCTTCCCAAACTCCTCTTTTAGAACTCACAGTATCAGTTTGCTGCATTTTTCCTGGCAGGTTAAAGGCTCTGCCTTGACTACAGCCAGAAATTAAAGTATTCCTCCATCTTCTCTCACAGGCTGCCCCCGAGTGTCCCCAGGACAAGCTTTTCTCCTTGTCCCCGAGCACACAGAGGGATGATGTCTCCAGCTCAAGCATAGCAAGTCTGGGCTGCTGCTGGTAATTAAAGCTATGTGAGTGAATGCCCTGAGGCAGAACATAATTCAGTGCAATTAGGCCAAGCTGTAGGGTTAGCATGAGCTTCCTATCTAACAACCAGCTAGTTCCTACTGCAGCAATAACCAAAGGTGCAAACACTGGCCCCCTCCTGCTAAAACTTTGCATTATTATGGTTTTCTTGATATTGATGGATACGTGGTAACAAAAATGGTGAGGGTTATATGAAAATCAAGGTGGTAGGCATGGGTGTTACAACCTCCCTTCTGTTTTTCACTCTTGAAGGGAAAAGAAAAACCAAACTGTGCTGGGTTCCTGCCACAGTGCTACTCCAGGACTCGCTGCCTTCCCCGGGCCGGGCTGGGCCCCAGGCTGGTGGTCACAAGAACGGGTGGTGCTTGATCCAAGGTTATTTTCTTTCTTTTTTAATTACTACATTAAATTACTGGGTTAAAACACACAGTGACAATTATCCTTCCCTTGCAGGCACAACACTGA